GGAAACGACGGATGACGTGTTTCACAAGAACGATCTGGTAAAAAAACCGTGTCAGGAAGAACTAATAACTTGTTTGGCTGTACAAAAGTGGGCTATTTTCATGGCGATAATTTTTAATAGACTTTGGCGAGAGGTGTTCTATGGACTCATCGCTAGTTCTGAACATCAGAACGACTGTCAGATTTAAATACCGGAGTAATAATAATAATAATAGAAGTTTTCCAATATTCAAGAAAGATGCCATTTACGAGAAAGACGGAAAAGAGTTTGCTGAGCAGAGGAGAAAGATCTTTTAGCTGTTTTATAAGAGAGTTTGGGATATTGTAAGTTCCAAATGGGTGCGAGTTAGTAAGATAGTTTATCAGTATCTGAGTAGTCTCAGGAGTACAAATAATGATGCTGAGAGGGGCATCAGACAACGGAGGAATTGAAGGTATTGGGTAAGTTTCAATGGTGAAATGTTTGTCAAAGAATGAACGTAACATTGCTGCTTTGCCTGGTTCCACTGTAATGAAATCATCGTTGGTACAAAGCAAGGGCGGAATGACATGGTGGGATTAATAAGAATAATAATTTTTTATTAAACACCCGTCGGAGTCCCAGCAAAGCAAGTAAAAATAAATTTATATGGGAATTTTAGATGAGGTAGGCAGAATCTGCACAAAATGTAATCCATAGTTTCCGAATTAGTAGTCCGTTGAGAAAAATGACCAGCGAGAGGGGAAAAATAACTCCACACAAAAATTTAAAAATGATTGGAATAATTTTTCAGGAGAAAAAAAAACCCTCAATAAAAATAATGACAGAAAAATGCGGGCAGAACTGGCCTGTATGTGGCGGTAAATAACGGATTATAATCGCACATCGTCAGGGCAGAAATAAATGTCAGCCTTGAGGGGTACGTATGCGGGTCAGACAGGACTGGCCTGCATGCGGTATTGTATACGGTATTCAGAACTGACATCGTTAGGGCAGGATTGATACGCCGAATGTTATTATTTGCGTCAAAGAGCCCAGACGAGAGGAACCCAGACGGGATCGGCCACAGTACGTTACGAGCCCAGCCGACGAGTGGGGAAGGGAGGTACGACCAACTACTGGTAGACGGCGAATACTGAGGGTTCGGCCGTGAGCGTCGACAGACCGCATGAGGTCGGAATGCGGGAGATGACATCAAAAACCGCGAAAATTGTCGCTATGGGGAGGAGTGATAGCAGTAGACTTAGCAACCAACTCAAAACAGGGGTTTCTAATGATATAATTGAGGGTTACCACTTGACCTACCACTAAATCTCAGGAGGACCCTTCTCGAAGTCAAGAACCTTAGTGTTCGGGAATAAGACTGTTAAAAGTGCCTTTATACTTCCCGGAGTAAGGTATTTGCGTAATTTCGACTTAAATCGCAGTAACTTAGGCGATGACCTATTTCTGGCGGAAGATTATTCCAAAGGAAGGCATATTTGGAAGCAAAGAAGAGGGAGCGCTTAGATGTAGTACAAAGAGGCGGCGGCGGACTCATCATGGAGGAGTTGCGCGTGGCACAAGACCTATCTCTCGGAGTGAGAGTGCCAACGAGCGGAAGACTGGAGCTAGAGTTGGTGCGAAAAAGGAAGCAAAGGCCAGCTTCGAGTCTTCTAACCCACAAAAACTTCGTGTTCGCCAGCTGACATCCCTGAGCATAAGAAATACCGGACGAAGATTAAGAGAACGATTTCCGGGTGAAAACTCTCTGAACATCTGTAGTGACATTTAAGTCTGTCTTGTTTTAATCGGTTACAAAACGCTTTGACACAACTTTGAATAAGACAAAGAACACGCACGTGCACGTTTACCTGCTGACGACTTTGTTCTTATTTACTAGTTTGTAACTGTTGGGATACTGCTATTTTCGTTTCCTGGATAGCCTACTCGCTGTGCCCTACTAGTGGGTTTGTCTCTTATACTGGTGACCCTATATCGTTCATAGCTCTTTCTGTTTAATCTCTGTGCCTAACTATTTCCATTCGGATTAATCCTCACTCTAATTTTTATCGATCAGATTATTCATCTAGCCCTTATTTGCTATTCACACTGTCTCACACTTTCATCCAACACGAGCGCTACCCTTCAATCTCTCTGTCAACGCGCCAGTCCTCTACCCCATTTATCTGACCTCTGACCGACCCCGGCTAATTATGTCCAGCGATTCTACCAGCCAGCCGATAGCCGGCATTCACACATTTGACCTGCCATCCGTGTGGCTAGGTGACATCGCGTTATGGCTGCGCACTGTAGAGTCACGATTCGCCCTCCGTCAGATCACACGAGAGGATACCAAATTTCACTATGTTGTGGCAGCACTCCCAATGGACATCGCCACCGACCTCCGCGACATCATAGATTGCCCGCCCACAGAAGCCCCTTATACTGCCCTAAAGGAGGCTCCCATTTCCCGCATTTCTCTCTCAACGAAAAAACGTCTCCAACGTTTAATTTCTGAGGGGGACCTCGGTGACAGGAAGCCTACGCAGCTTCTTAGGCGTTTGGAGCAGTTGGCAGACGGACAAAAGCTGGATGCCACCATGTTCAAGCAACTTTTCCTCCAACGGTTGCCTCCTTCTGTGCAAGCCATCCTTGCGCCTAACATTCCTTCGTCGACTGTTCAGATGCTCGCGGAGACTGCTGACCGTATACTCGAGTACTACCAGCCTCCAGTTACGGTTAACGTCACTAGTCGAAGCACAACTGCCCCCACAATCGAGGATGTCGTCAAACGCCTGGATGCCCTCACTCTCGAAGTTTCCCAGCTCCGGGCCACTCGTGTCTATAACACTCGTAGTCCTGCAATTTCTCGCCGCCCGAGATCTCCCACTCCAAACAAACCTACAGTTGATGGTTTCTGTTGGTATCATCACAATTATGGTTCTAACGCCCATCGCTGCCACTCTCCGTGCAAGTATAAAACACCCGCGTCGGAAAACTCCCCTGCCGACCAGTAAGGGTGACGAACGTGGTCGGCACATACTCTCCCAGTCGCTTACTCCACATCTATGACAGGACTTCCTGTCGTAATTTTCTCGTGGATACTGGTGCGGAGATCAGTCTAATCCCACCCACCTTGACTGACCGTAAGTCACCAAATTCTTCATTTTTTCTCCAAGCAGCTAACAATACTTCTATTAAAACTTTTGGTCAACGATCCCTAACACTAGATTTGTGTCTAAGACGTTCATTTCGTTGGCTATTTACTATCGCTGATGTCCATACTGCCATTCTCGGCGCTGATTTTATATCCTTTTTCGGTCTCCTCGTTGACATTAAGTCCCATAAATTATTTGATCCTAAGACTTCTTTACATTGTAATTGTTCCACTCGTACCCTTTCGTCACCTAATCCACGCATTTCAACAATCCCTTCGTCTACTCCCTATCATCGTTTACTTTCGGAATTCCCATCTATCACACGACCTTCACAATTTAACCAACCTATCAAGCATTCTGTTGTACATTATAATTCAACTACTGGACCACCCGTGTTTAGCCGTCCCCGTCGTTTAGCCGCCGATAAGTTAGCCATAGCCAAGGCTGAATTCAGCCACATGATGGAGCTAGGCATAGTTAGGCCTTCCACTAGTACATGGGCTGCACCTCTACATATGGTGTGCAAAAAGTCTCTCGTTGACTGGCGCCCATGCGGGGATTACCGACGGTTAAACACCTCCACTGTGCCTGACAGGTATCCACTTCCCCATCTCCACGACTTTTCATCTAGCCTAGCTGGAGCAACAATATTTTCCAACATTGACTTAGTCAAAGCTTTCCATCAGATACCCGTTGCTCCAGAAGACATTCCCAAAACGGCGATTACAACACCGTTCGGTCTGTTCGAGTTTGTCAGGATGCCTTTTGGGCTACGCAACTCCGCCCAAACTTTTCAACGTTTCATCAACGAAGCCCTCCGCGATCTACCGTTCGTTTTTGTCTACGTCGACGATGTTCTGGTAGCAAGTTCCAGTGAACACGAGCACCTACAACATTTGTGTCTCATTTTTGAACGATTGAGCCAATTTGGCGTTTTCATTAATGTTTCTAAATGCGTTTTTGGCGCACAGTCGCTGTTTTTCCTAGGACATCGCGCAGATGCTTCTGGTTGTCATCCCATAGATACCAAAGTTTCAGCTATTCGCGATTTCCCTACTCCCACTTCTTTTCAACAACTGCGCCGTTTTATAAGCCTTGTCAATTTCTATCGACGTTTCATCCCTCATTGTGCTCAAATAATGCTACCACTTACTAACCTTTTACGCGGGAACAACCGTGAGTTTTCTTTTCCTGACACAGCTGTAGAGGCTTTCAATCGTGCGAGGAAGGCTCTTGCGGATACAACTGTCCTTGTTCACCCTATACCTGATGCCCCACTTTCCATTGTGGCCGACGCCTTCAATTTCGCTATAGGTGCTGCCCTTCAGCAGCAGACGCCCATTGGCACCCAGCCCTTGGCTTTCTACTCTGCCAAATTGACACCCCCACAAACTCGCAATAGCACTTTTGGTAGAGAACTTCTTGCAATCTATTTAGCCATTAAGCATTTTCGTTATTATATTGAGGGCCGAGATTTTTGTATTTATACTGACCACAAGCCTCTTACTTATGCCCTCTCTACTTCTTCTGACAAGTATTTATGTTCCGAAATGACCAAGAGCGATATGAAGTCGAGCTCACCCCCTGTAACTCCTTCTCATTTTGTCCCACCATTATGGGCGTGTTCGAACTATTTCAGCCCAGAACATCTATCTGTACACCACACATTTTTTACGTTGCAAATAGGGTACTCAAAGGCTTACGCCTGTTTCCCTCAATAAACTGAACTGAACTGAACCCCGCGAGGCCCGCCATCTCGATTTTATTTCTCAGTATACCACCGACATTCGATTTCTTAAAGGCCTTTATAATCAAGTTGCTGACTGTCTTTCTCGGCCTGGCATTAATGCCATCACCCGCCCTTCCATCGATTTGGAGCGCATGGCAGAACTGCAAAATCAGCCGACTTTCAGTGAGAGCCTTCAACACACTAGTCTTCAACTCGAAGCCATTCCTCTTTCCACCACCCCCGGTACAATCTTGTGTGACGTATCGCGCGGTGCCTTCCGACCCGTAGTGCCCAGCGAGATGAGACGAGATGTTTTTGCCGCGTTGCACAATCTAGCTCATCCTGGCATCCGCACTACCCAGCGCCTCGCCAGCGAGCGGTTCGTTTGGCCAAGCATGAACACTGATATCCGCCAGTGGACCCGTTCATGTTTGGCCTGTCAGAAGGCCAAAGTCGGACGGCACAAGAAAACCCCCATTGGCACTTTTCTCGCATCCGAAGCACGTTTTTCACATGTCCATATCGATCTGGTAGGTCCCTTTCCAACATCTCGTGGTTGCAACTACTTACTTACTGCGATTGACCGATTTACTCGTTGGCCCATTGCAACTCCCATACCTAACATAACTGCAGATTCCGTTGCTAATGCTTTTTTGGAACACTGGATCTCTCATTATGGCGTCCCCTCAACAATTACCACCGATCGAGGTCAACAATTCGAGTCTAGACTTTTTAACAGCCTTAGCAACCTCCTCGGATGTTCTCACATACGCACGACAGCATACCACCCCTCATCCAACGGTTTAGTCGAGCGTTTCCACCGGAAACTCAAAGCCTTGCTCCGAGCTCATGACAACCCTTCCCATTGGAGCGAGCATCTGCCTTTGGTCATGCTCGGTATCCGTACCGCACTTAAGCCCGACTTGGAGTGTTCCGCTGCCGAACTTGTCTACGGTACCACCCTACGGATTCCCGGGGATTTTTTCGGACACTCTCAAAGCTCAACCGACTTGGATCCCAGCGATTATGTGCAAAGATTGCGCCAAGCCATGATTCATCTTCGAGCCACTCCTCCACGTCCTTCAACAAGTAAATCGTACGTCAACCCGAACTTACTAACATGTTCTTTTGTATTTGTCCGCGTAGATAGCGTTCGCTGGCCACTACAACAGCCCTATGACGGCCCATTCCGAGTACTATCGCGCAAGGACAAGCACTTTATGATTGACCGTGGAAGCCGCACCGACGTGGTCTCAATCGATCGCTTGAAGGCGGCTTATACCGAGCCTCTTCCAACTTCTCCAACCGAACAACCTCCACTTGGCACATTGCCACTGGCTATTTCCCAGAATCCATTTACGCCCAATAACCCCGCGTCTTCCCTTATCCCACAGACTCCTCCCCTTACGCGCAGCGGTCGTCATGTCCGTTTTCCCGACCGTTACCAACTTGTACAATATGCATAACGCTCCCACATTTTCCTTCTATTAACAATAATTTTTTTTGAACTCCGTTCTCCTAGGAGGAGGAGTATTTAGTGACATTTAAGTCTGTCTTGTTTTAATCGGTTACAAAACGCTTTGACACAACTTTGAATAAGACAAAGAACACGCACGTGCACGTTTACCTGCCGACGAATTTGTTCTTATTTACTAGTTTGTAACTGTTGGGATACTGCTATTTTCGTTTCCTGGATAGCCTACTCGCTGTGCCCAACTAGTGGGTTTGTCTCTTATACATCTTCTATCTCATAACGGCCAGCGGCGTTTAATAAACCAAAGAAAGGTCAGTAGTATTCGAGGACTTGAAGAACAAACATTTGATAAAGTCTTAGCTTCATTTCCGGAAGGAAAAAAATTATGCAATACGAATCCATATATCTGCGCGGCTTTATCAGAGATTCCATCTGATAAAGCAAGCTTAGTTGTATAACTTAGACCTAGGTCCTTTATGGTGAGGCATTCTGAGAGTGGGTTATTCTGCAAAATTATGGGACCAGGAAGTTTGGCTGGACCAAAAGACATGAAACTACACTTGGAGGATGAAAACTCCATCTGCCATGTTTAACCGCATCTGCTTAAGCGTAGTAAATAGGCATTAGTTGTTTCAACACAAACGTTTAGATAGATAGATAGATAATTTTTATTAAAGACCCGTCGGGGTCCCATCAAAGCAAGTTAAAATAAATTTACATGCGAGTTTTAGACGAGGTAGGCCGAATCTTTACAAAATGCAATTCATAGTTTATGAATTAGAAGTCCATTGAGAAACATGATGATTGAGGGGTGAAAAAAAACTCCTTACAAAAAGTTAAAAATGATTGGATTAATTTTACTGGAAAAAAACCCTCAATAAAAATAATGGCAGAAAAATGCGAGTAGGACTGGCCTGTAGTTGGCGGTATATAGAAAAGAATAGAATAGGTTTATTGTAGCGTCCCTTGGGCACTGTCAGTCCCCTTTGAATTCAGGAAAAAAACCTAAAACAAACTCGTCAATTTCAACTGCACTTTGACTTCATTTGCTTCGGGTGTCTGGTTAGCCAAAAGAGCGCGAATTGAGAGTTTGTTTTAAGTTAAAAAACCTCAGTTCTTAGGGAAAATAATAACAAAATTTTCAAAAATAACGCTATGTACAATATAAAAATTGAAGTTTGCAGTTTGGTAGTTTTCGGGGGCATGAATAATATATCCTTCATGACAATTGAAGAACTTTGATATCGGCCTGACCTTGAAATTATTTTCCTGTTGGGTAAATTTCAGTGTGCTCTAGTTCCTGATTGTCAGCCTATCTGGCCAGCTGTAAGGGGGCGGTCGTACAGCTCCTACGTGTTCTTCAGGAGGCTAACCATCGTTGTCTGGACTAAGAGCTGGAAAAGATGAATATATATCAGGAGTAAGAAGCATTCAATGGCAAGTCACAATCAAAACTGTCAAAATACTATTGAATCATGTATCATATTGTTCTTGTTAATGTGAAATTCTAGGAGTAGTGGTGGACTGTTTACTATGACCTAATATAGTTCTCTATAGGTTTAATATGGCTTTAATATAGACATACGCACGAATAATATGCAGGGTTTTATCGAAGGGTATATTTTTATTAGCTTTATAAGGGATATTTAGTGTCAGGTGACATAGCTGATGAAAACGAGAAAGGGAGTGAAATAGAAGAATATC